CTCAGAGGTATGGCTCTTCCTGCTCTCGCTATTTAATAAACTATATGGGGCTGATCTTCCTCAAGCATAAAAAAATCCTTTGTCTAACTATTATGATTTTATTTCTTTCAGCTCACAAGAGATGATAGTATACATTCTATAATTTCTACCAAAAGGAATCCCTAAATTATATCCAAAGTAAATGTTTCTTAGCATAGCAGCTCCCAGGTAATAAGGTACATACATATTTGAATATTTCTCTCTCATTGTTCTTGTTTCTATCTATTCAAATATGATGTAAATGTTTCCTTGTATTGACATTAAAACATTTGCTCTGTTTCCTTTAAGTATAAACAGTTTATTTAGCATATTCATTCAATTTATGTCTGATTTGCAATTATGTAGGTTCTCTCTGTATTTTTTTTTATATCAAAACCCTGTGAATTTAAATCTACTTTGACCCCTGAGCAGCGGTAACCAAGAGAGAAACTGAAGAAATAGTCAGAATTGCCAAAGTAGAAAGATAAATGATTTTTGTTATTTGCTTTTTTTGGAGCAATGAAGATTTTATTGACCTGTGTGTAATAGATAATTCATAATAGATCAGGAAGTGTTTGCTTTGCGATGAAAACCTTGTATGTTTAAAACCATTCCTTTATTGCACATTTTCTTAGCTTGTCTGTCTGCTATATTAACCAATATGATGTGTTGAAATAGATCTGCTATTTTCACACTTTTTAAAACTTTTATTAATTCATAAAAAAAGTTTATTTGAATTCTTTAAATCAAAGAGGATTGTTGCACGGCAGCATTCTATACCCAGCTATTGTAATATCTAGGCTAGAGCTGTCAGTCTGGTAAAGAATCTGGTTGTTAATCGCAATTGTATAGGTTAACTATTTTTTTTTAAGTGCAACATAAAACTGACTAAAACTAGACTAAAACCTGAGTTTTAGTCGACTAAAGCTAATAATAGTTTTCATCCTGAAGACTAAAACTAAATGTCAGATGGCTGTCAAAAACAACACTATTGGCTTTATCTCTACATGCACACTCATTCTAACTCTGTCAGAATAAGCTGGTAAAGATGGATGGATGAAAAATAGTTCCTTGCAATACCTATGATTTTCCAGCAGAGGGCGACAGTGACAGACTGACTGAAAAAGTCAAACCAGAATTTACTTCTTCAAGTTACATTTTAATAATCCGGTAAAAACTGTAAACAGTTCTTCTGTCACTTCATTACATGGTGGAGGGTGTATGGTACTGGGGTGGACATGGTAAACCTCATCATTTCTGCCCCTCCTGCCCCCAGGAGGACTGATTCTATAGAGTTCGGTTCTGAAGGTTCCCTCCATACATCCACAGGTCTCCTGTAAAGCGTCTCTAGACCACCTTCTCTCCGTGGGTGTCACTCAGTCCGTGTAAACTGTGGGTTTCCTCCTCCTTCAGCCCACCCGCGGCGGCCCCCTCCTTCCCCCTGCGGATCAGCACCAACTGGGCCGCGAACACGGCCAGCACTATGAGGAACACGATGCCCACGATGATCCCCACCAGCCCGCCGGCTGACACCCTGGAGGGCCGCCGCGTGGGCTCAGGGTGTGGGGTGGTGGGTGGTGTTTGGGTGGAGGTGGTTGGTGACCCGTCTGTGACCTCATCATCGATTATTACGCACTGGTGTCTATCGATTAACGTGAACCCTGGAGCGCAGGAGCACACGTAGCCGCCATAGGTGTTCTTACAGCTTTGGGAGCAGAAATTAAAGTCACATTCATCCATGTCTAAGCAGAAGAAGCCGTTTGCTCTCTCCTCCAACAGAAAGCCGTCGGGGCAGAAGCACTGGAACTGGTTGTTGGGGTCACACATGGCGGGACACTCCTCCTCCCCACAGTGCAGCCTGCATCTCTCCGGCTTATTTTCATCCTCTATGTATCCTTCAAAGCAGGAGCAGAAATAACCACCAGGCGTGTTCACGCAATTCTGCTCGCACGGAGCGCTCACGCACTCATCCACATCCACGCACTGATCCGCCATCAGTGTATAGCCCTGCTCGCAGACGCACTTGTAACCCATCGGTGAGTTCAAGCACTTGAAGTTCTCCCCGGGACACTGCCGCTCATCCGCGCACTCGTCAAAATCCACGCAGCTCCTGCCGTCCGCGGCCAGCTGCAGGCCGTGGCCGCAGCCGCACACATGCTGCGTTCCGTTCTGCAGGCAGGTCTGCTGGCAGCGCAGCGCCGCGCACGGGTGGTCCTCATCCCACGCCTGGCAGGTCACCCTGTTAATCGGGTCCACGATGAGCTGCGGCGGGCAGTAGCAAATGGGGGCGTTGTTTTGATCCACGGCGCATTTATGTTCGCAGCCTCCTTCCTTTATCTCGCAGCTCCAAGGCGCCGGCAGCCACTGCTGCCCGGAGCAGATATATTTGCTCTCTGATGGGAGACGGACTGCGATGCTTCCAGGAGGAAGAGTGGGGGACAGTATCTCCTCCACCTTGAACCCATCGGGGGTCCGGTAGCGCACGGACTCCTGCGGCTCATGAGGCAGACTGGTGCAGGGCTCAGTGAAGCTGTTCTCACAGAGGAAGCCTTCTGCCTGCTGCGCGCAGGGCGCCTGGCTCCATCTGAAGCGCTGCTCTCTGCTCACAGAGACGCAGCGGGCGGCCAAGCAGCTGCTGTCAGAACCCGGCAGCCAGTTGGTGAAGTCGCTCTCTGTGTCTTTGGTGACCCAGTGGAAGCCCCGGAGTTCCTTTGAGGGGTCCGGGCAGCCGCTCAGGCGGTGCAGACCGATCCAGAAGCTCCCGCTGAAGTTTCCCAGCAGGACGGAGAGGACGTCGTTGGCCACAGAGGTGCGCACGGTCATCAGGTGGCTGCCCAGGGCTCTGCAGCGCTCCCGCGCTGAGCTGAAAGTGCTGGGATCCCGGAACAGGATGAAGCATGCATTCCCGATGCAGTAGCCGCTGCTGCGCTCTGCGCCTCCAGCTTCAGCCTGGAGGAAAAGCAGCAGCAACACGGACAGCCCCGCTGGAAGCACCATGTCTGAATATCAGCTGGTTCCGCTCTAAGCTCTTCAGCGATCCAATAGATGTTCGGCCTGTTTGTTGACAGAACTATTTAGGTGGTATATATAAACCCCTGCCTCCATATTAGGGTCCAGCGGGAGGAAGGAAGACGCTCCGAGGACATGACAGCATGACTGCTGGGCTGCTCATTTCCCCTCAGCCGCACACTCACCACATCCAGGGTTTACGCACGGCTTTCACGCTTACGCAGAACCGGGGCTTTGACCCTTATATGTAGTAGCCCCTCCCAACAGACCCCCACTCTGCCTGCTTCTCAAGTATGGCAAGCCCTTGTGGAAATATTTAAAACCAGTCACCGCTCAGTAGACTAAAAACAACTGGATATTTGCTCACTAGTTGGACATTTTATATTTTTATTTATCCAGAAACAATCTTAGTGTTAATTTTTTTTAGGTCAAAGTTGCTAAAATCTGTGACGATGACAACTAAACAATCATTAAGAGTGGTTCTTATATTGAGGTCCTTTTTTGTGTGTTTTTCTTACTTTAAGAGCAGAACCATTCTATTTAATGGCAGCATTTTTGTTTGGAAATTCGCCCAACTAGAATGGCACCCAGGCTGGGCGACAAATAAACAAATCTTGAATCTTGACAGGTTGGAACATAAATGTCACCAGCGGTACCTGCTTTTGTCAGCAAGGAAACAGTTGGTGAATAGCTGCTAATTTTTTTATTTTTATTTTTTTTACTCCTCTCCAGATAGATGTTATTCAGTCTTAGAACACACAGAGCTTATTTGAGTGAGGAAAAAGAACTGAGGGCTGATCTGAAGGATTCTGAGTGTTTACACCAACTGCTTGCCATACATCCAAAACAAGCCTTTAATTTGTCCCATAATCGGTTTTTATTTTAGGGAATAAATTAAAGATGGACAAGGATTTCCTGAAAATAAAGATCTCTGGATTTTATTTTTTCTTCATGTTTGTGTTAAATAGGACAAACCTTTAAAATATATATATCTTAGTAGAATAAATTAAAGCCCAATGTGTTCAGACATGTTTGACTCATTGTTAGAGCATGTTCCAACTGCATATATATATATATATATGTATATATATATATATATATATATATAGGCCTAGAAGGTGGTGTAGAGAGGCCCTGAATCAAGTTTTTTTACTGGTTTTATTTCTCTATTCTTTGAAGACATTACTTCTTTTTTAGTACGTAACATTTCTATTTTTTCTGCCTTGTCCAGAGAAAACAAAGATGCACAACCATAGACAACGTTTAAATATTTATTCCGTTTTTCTTGAATGATTCATATGCAATGTATAGTGAAAAAAACACAATATTTAACTCTGGAAAGGATTAGGCTCAATACATCTGCTTATAATAGGTAATAAAAACTCCAAGAAACCATTGACAAAAATCATAAGAAAGTCTGTGTCCTTTGGTGCAGAACATAGCAGGACTCTGAATCTTAATAATTCAGACGTAATACAGATGTCTCATGGATTACTGAGGAATTGGACGATTTTTTTCGTCGTCCAACTCATTTCTTTCTTGATTCCTTTTCTTTGCACATGAGCAGAAACAGTGTTTACCAATAGTAGAGAAAAACAGCTTGCCATAAGCCTGTCAGACCAGATGATTGCAGCTGTCATATATGAAGTAGCAGCACAATGTTTACATTCATGTGAAGCTGACCGGTGAGGATGAGCCTGTGGTACAGTAAAGTGATTATTAGCAGACATGCAGACACTGTTCATTATAACATCCACTGCTTCACAGCTCTTTGGTCACACAGAGTGAGTCTTTTTGCACAAAGCAGGCCGAAGCTGAATATAATAGAAACACACACATTCAACCCCTCAAGTCATCAGTCGGTTCTATTTACATGCATTATGAGCTCCTCTCCCAAAGATAAAAAAGCAGCCAATGTTTCTTGTTACATCCAGTGCTGAGCTTTAAAAAAAGCAAACATATTTTCACATTGAACATGATTTTGTCAGAGTTAAAACAGGTTGAACATAAAAAAAAAAAAAAAAAGCAGTATAAGTGGAAAAAATGGATGTTTGCAGGGTGGCCAATTCTGGAAAGTACCATTAGTTTGACTGTAGAGCTGCTTCTAGTTAAAAAACTGATCTGGCTGAAAATATTTCTTTCTTTTTTTACATAACAACTACTTTAATAAAAAAAAAATCACTTAAAAAAACAAAAAAACAAAAACAACAACTAAAAATGCTTTCTAATTTCCCTCATAAGGCATATTTATTTCTCAGTGCGATATATAAAGTACATTTGGGTTTTTTTCTGTCTTCTAACACAGAAACCAGTGCTTCAGACTAAATCTTATTTACAACAGAGATGCAGCGATCTGTCCGCCACAGATTGGAACGGATTCATTTTTATTCCTTATGTATAAATGCATTAAATCTTAAACCTTTCTAAAACAAACAATATGTGTTATGATGTCTTTTTTGGAGGGTTTGTAAAAATGTAATTTTTTGGTTTACTTTTATTGTTTCCAAATATCTTAGACCCTCCAGCACAGCTGCTTTATTTTTATATTTTAGAAGAGAATCAAAAATAAACCATTTTATTTTTTAAATCGGCCTGATCGGTGCATCACTCAGACTCTCTGCGGCTCGTTTCTAGCCTGCTTATCAAAGGATAAGCGCTTGTATGTCTCTGTTGTGACCTGCTGCAGGTAGAAGATGTCAATATCCGGGTGTTTTAGGGCGGTCAGGTTCAACGTCCTGCAGCGTGTCGCCGCGTATCTGACCACGCACAGCATCAGCCCCCCGCACAGCGCCAGGAACACGGTGATGCCCAGGACGCTGCCGGTCTTAATGTAAGAAGGGAGGGCGGCCGGCTGGAGGCTGATCGGGGTGGTTGATGGAGCGGGTGGAGGAGGAGACCCAGATGCGTCCTCCTCATCCTCATCCTCCTCGGTGTGATTCATCCGGACACACTTCTCCTTCTGCAGGGTGTAGCCCTTCCTGCACACACACCTGAAGCCGCCGAACAGATTCTCGCAGTCGTGATCGCAGAGCCTCTGAGCCTCGCATTCATCAAAGTCGTGGCAGGTGGCTGCTCCCTCTGAGTGGTCCAGGATGAAGCCTTCTGGGCAGAAGCACGGCGTGTTCTTACTCTCCTGCTTCGGGTTGGGATGACAGATCGCAGGGCATGTTTTCTGATTGCAAACTTGCTCGCACTTGGTGGGGTCCTTGGGGGACACCCTGTACCCCTCTCTGCACTTGCATTGGTACACCCCGCTGATCTTCGCGCAGTCCATATGCTCGCATAATCTGCAGATGGAGACGTTAACGCAGGCGCCCTCCTCCATCGCAAAGCCCTCCGCGCAATCGCACTCGTACCCGCCATCCAGGTTTACGCACACCTTACCCTCAGCCAGGCACGCGTTCTTCTCGTCCGCGCACTCATCCACGTCCACGCAGCTTTTCCCGTCCGCTGCAGGCCTGTAGCCCTCGGAGCAGCGCCGGATCTCGGACGGGGAGCTGCTACCCGGCTCAGATGTGTTCGTGCAGGAGAAGCTGTTGTGATGGAGGGATTGCGCGGCTGGACACGTACAGGTGTGGTTAAATTGATCGCAGCTGTGATCACAGCCACCCTGCAGAACCTCGCAGCGCCACGGAGCCTGCAGCCAGTTGGCCACACAGAGATACTTGGAGTCCGGGAACTGAGCGCCGGGCCGAGCCGCCAGGGCCAGGGTCCCAGGGGGAAAGGTCTCCGAATCTGCAAATTCGAAGCCTGCATGTGAGCGGTAGGTCACCGAGGTGTTCCCACTGTCCCGAACGACGCCGCATACGTCAGAGGAGCCGAAGGCGCAGAAGAAGCCGTCCAGGATGTCCCCACAGTGCTCCGGCCGAACCTTGAATCCGGGCCCACTCCCCGCAGAAACAGCCGTGCAGTTTGGGCCACCCTGCAGCCAGAACACCCCTGTGAATCCTCTCAATAGACGCTCAAACTTGCTCGTCTCTACAGAAGTGCTGGATTGGACCAGCTTTCCGGTTTGCCCCTCGCAGGCTTCCTGCGCAGCTTTAGAGTCCAGAGACTCCTGGAAGCAGCAGAGATTCCCGGAGCAGCGAGCGCGCTGCAAGGCGGCCGCTTCCTGCAGCAGAAGAGCGGAGAAAAACAGGCCCAGAGACACAGGAGCCATGGTGGAGAGCAGCTGGGTTCCAGTTAACACCTCCGCTTGTATCGAGGAAAATGATCGAAGATCTGAAGCTGAAACAGGCTCACCATTGCTCCCATTTATACCGCATGTCGCGCAGTGTTTGTTCTGTCAGGACCGGGCAAAGGGAGGAATTTCCGTTTGGCCGGAGAGTGCAGCCTTGCAGACTGTTCAACGCCCATCCAGCCTTATCTGAAAAAAAAAAAAAAGGGTCTCCAATCAAAAGACACACATGTGCGCACGAATCTTTAATTAGATGACAAATGATTTAAATCTCAAAAGCACCCCCCCCCCCCTTCACCAGATCCCAGAGGAACAGTCTCTTCTGTGTCATAGGAGGAGAAATTTTCCTGAAATCCCAGATGGTTGCTCAGAAATATCATCCTTTAATCCAAATTAATGGGAAACCTGTGATTCAGTCTTCAGGTCAGCCGGAGGCCAAGTGACTTTCAATCTCAATAAGGATAAAAGGTGAATAAACAAACTACGTTTAAGGTTTCAGCTGAATAAACATTTATCTACCATAAATATCTATAAACCATCCATTCATTTTATAATTCAATTCAAATCAGCTTTGATGTAGCGCCGATTCAAATTACACGTCATCTCAAGGCACTTTACAGTTCACCAGATCATACAGTCGAATTGATTCAAAGTTTTCTATCTAAGTCATTGTCTCAAAGGCAATCCCTCACACTAAGCATGCTAGTAGCGACAGTGGAGAGGAAAAACTCCCTTTTAGAAAAAAGAAACCTCCAGCAGAACCAGGCTCAGTGTGAGCGGCCATCTGCTGAGGCCGACTGGGGTTCAAGGAGACAGAAGCAGAGACACAAAAAGAAACTGTAAAAGGCGGCCCCTTCCAGGAAGACAAGCTCCAAGCCAGCTCCCATGCCAGAGGACGAAGAGAGCACATCCAGCCAGTCACAGTCAGAGAAACAGGACTACACTGTAAAACAGGCCAATCTCCAGCATCTATAAACAAAGGTGTTGATGTTAGCAGCACAGATGAGGTTTCAAAATAAGAAGCCAGTTTCCCCCTGATCTGTGCTGCTTTCAAACACCTGTTGCTGCTCACTGTCAGTCAGATGGCTGAAAAATACTGCTACCTGTTTTCTTCCCTTATAACAAAAGCAACTATGACTCACTGGTGTAACTTTCTGAAGGGCTGGTGTGGACATGTCCCCACCAACTTTGGGCATGGAGGGGACAGTGCCCACCAATAATTTCCACTTTTTTCCCCTTTCCACAGATTTACTTTAGCCAACAGTAACTGGGGTTGGGTGCAGCTAACTGTGGTCAGAGTGTTTCACAGTCCGTGTTTTTTCCTTGCTCCTCTTGAAATATCATCGGATCTGTCGTTTTGGGACATAGTATTATTTGGGGTCGATATTCACTGCATACAGAGTAGCTGGTTGGAGGAGAGACACACAGCAGCACTCAGTCAATTTTAACCAGCAGCTACTTCCATAGATGCTTATGTAAAAGTTAGGAGACTGGTTGGTTATAAAATCAGAGATGCCATAGAAAAATGTGTTTGTTACATATATGGAGCTTTTTCAGCTAAAAAAGGCAGCGGATTGTACATTTATATAAGTTAAAAAGCTGGGCTTCTCAGAAGACCATTACTCAGATTAAAATGAACACATATTTATTGTTTTCTGATTGGACAGAGAATCAGACTGCAGAGCTTCTTGGGATCTTGAAAATGATTTTCTCAGGCATCATTATATTGGCAGACAGGTTCATAAATCTGTTTTTAAGCAGAGCAGAGACACAATTAGGGACAGCTGCCTAACAGATTTACTGGGATGTGCAACATGCAATAAAATATATCCCCATGTTTTAAGAAAAAATACGGTATGCTATAATAAAATTCAACATATCTTTTTGTCTTTTGTAGTTCAACCAGACTCAGAAATAGCTGCACCAGCAACCCAGAGACAGCCAGACTCACTGGATACAGATATAAAATTAAAATATAGGAAACCTGCAAGAATTAAAACAAAAATAATAAAAGTTAATGTATAAAGGATTTTTGAAAAATAAGGTTCAATTTATAGACTTTGGCTGTTAATGACACATGGGACACATTTCTAAATTAGATTTTGCTGCTTGTGAAGGAGAATAATTACTAATGCAGCTTAAAGGGAAGCCAGGCATGGATGGATGGATGGAAGTGAAGTTGTGTCCATTCTAGAGATGCAGGATATGTTGATGTTGGCATCGGATATCAGGGTTTATTCATCATTTTTTTATATACATTTTTTTTATATACATTGATGTTTTTGAGCCCTTTATAAATAATGGACTAAAGGCAAGCATCTGTCTATAACTATAAATATCAGTGTATTGTGGTTCTCTTGTGTTCTCAACAATAGTAAAGCATTCATTAAATATATGTTTGAGCTCATTTTTGGAAAATACAAACCCTTATGAAAGCGTTCGGGTTCCGTAGCTGTAGGTCCATCAGCCTCTATCCCTAGAGCGTCCCACTAACTTTTATCACAAAAATACACCCTTGCTATTACTACATTTATATCTGTTTTAGATTGGTTAGATGCAAGCGACATGTCTGCCAGGCAGTGGATGGCAGAGCAGAAGGTCTGACCATTTACCCATCTGCAGCTATAGGATGTTACTCTACTAACAGTAAATCAGGAAAAGGGTATCATATCATATCTGGTGAAAACTTCCATGGATTTAATCAGATGTTTATTCCATAATACAGAAAATATATGGAGCAAATACAATACCCTAATAAGTAAGCCTAGTATAAATTATTATTTTATAATGTTTTTCTCCAGTAGGAATAAGTAAATAAATAAATAAATAAATAAGGTACTCATATATTTTAGATGATAGAGACTCATAAGTTTTCATCAATAATGTTTGTATAACTACCTTGGTACCAAAGGTATCCAAAAATTACACTCAAGTAAGAAATATTTGTTAAAAAGGCTACCTAAGTACTGAGTAACTCATGTGATATTTAAAATCACTTAATAATGACCAAAATATAATTTTTGTTGCAAATTCTGGAATTTTAAAGACTAATTTAAGTGAAAAATAACAATTCCTAAACAATTTTTAAAAATATAAATTGAATGAAACCAGTATCTTCAGTGCCAATATGCTCCTCATATTATATTAGCCTGACCTCCAAACTTCTTAGTAGGTTCAACTATTCATTTTGATTAAAAACCATAACTGTGTGTATTTATCTGGAGCTATTTTTCCATAAAATATTCTTTTGGGGCAAAGCTGGAAGGAGCAGCCAAGACTTTTATTCAAATTAGTGTAGCTCTATTTAGTTTAATTTGATTTATTTTAATTTATCAAGATATTAACCAAGTAAAAGTAAAAATCAAAGTGCAATAAAACTCCCCCTAAAAGCACACATTTGCCAAAAAGTTACTCAAGTAACTGAAACTGAATAAATGTAACTAGTTTCCACCCAATTGTGTACCCAAGCACTTCCCAACCAGTTGAACAAACGTCAAAGTATGGAGTGAATTTTGCACCATTATTTTTACTGGCAAAAAAGCCATTTTGTAAAAGGAAAAATAAAAAGTAGTCTAAATAGGTGTCGCAGTCTTAGTTTTGTTATGTTTTCTTTTAAGTATTCAGTTTAACTTTGCTCCATGTTTTCTAGTTTTATTGGTTTAATTCTTATTTTGTTGCATTTTCAAACAATGCCCTCTGTCGCCCTCTTGTGTTGGTCTCCTTTTTCCCTAGCTCCTTAGACTGCTCTCTTCACACCTGCTCCCAATCTGCTCGTTAGTCCTCTTTTTGTTCAGTTAGCCATAAATACTTCATTTGTTTGGTTGGTTTGTTATTCTTTTTCTTGTTGGATTTTTTTTTATTCCTGCCTCTGTTGTTTATGAACAATTATAAAATCTACAAGAAACTCACATCTGCCTCTGCATTTGGGTCCTCAAACCATAACCAAAACCAGTATCCAGAGCTCCAAACCTTCTTCCTTCAGGCAGGATACATAGGCTTAATAGAGTGGAACATACTTGCTTATTGTCCTTCTCTACAGATTAAAGAGAAATAGAGAAAAGATTTATCATTTAACTTTTGAAAAAAAAAAAAAAAATAGATTCAGATTTTTTTTTCACAAACAGAATAAATTTCATATAACCATATGAAAGGTGGAAGGAGGGACAGGAGCATCACCCCACTTTCTCCGAACATTTCCCATGGATGACGATGATAATTATAGAAGCATCCTTAACCGTAAGTTCAACAAAAGCTCCTTACAGGAGAGACCCTGACTCACATGGACACATCGCCACAGGTAAGCTATAAAAATAGCTGCGACAATAGACATCTCAGACATATTTATAGTCTGAGTAAATCAGTCACCACTCGTAAAACATTCATCATATTAACGTTTTCCTCATGAGGGGAAGGTGCTACGGTTCCAAGGAGGAAGTTTGGAGCAACACGTTTGAATAGATTTCCTTTACAGGATGTAGAAACCTGCCATGACAACCTCCTATAAACACGCTGGTTCAACTCTTAGCGACTCTGACAGAACACAATCCGAGATGATTGATTTCTTCTCAGTGACGGATTAAATCAGTCACCAGCAATAAATTAAAACCAAGGAGATTGTGGCTGTAGTTTGTAAAGAGGCCAAAAAGCTTTAATTATTAGAGAACTGTGACACATAGAAGACGTTCCTGCACAGGGTGGGGGTGAGGGTGTGGTGGGCTGGAAGGGGATGGAGGGGATGTGAGAAAGGTCGCTCTTTGTTCATGCTATAGAAACAAAAATAACCAAAGTGTGTTTTATTAATGAGCATTTGATGTTTTGACTTCTGCACAGGGGGGAACCAAAGAAGTTTGGCGCCGTTCGTGTTTCCTTTGGTTACATTTTTTATGGTTTCTGTGAGTCAGCAGCAAAATAAAAGCTGTGCACTGGAAAACTAATCAAGAAATAGCTACCTTAATTTGAGCCACCTTAATTTGAGCCACCTTAATTTGAATAGGTAAATGAGATAGTTTGCCAATGGGATGAGAATGTTTCCTCTTGAAATAAGATAATTAGATATTATGCACTTGAAATAAGACGATGCAATTGTTTTTCTCTTATTTTAAATGTAAATTGACTTGTTCCATTGGCAAAATGTCTAATTTTCTTCCTCAATTCAAGAAAAGATGCACTTATTTCAAGAGAAAAATGACTTGTGTAGATTGACATTGTTTTGCAGTTTGTGATTAAAATCCTGTGTTCCTCCACAACACTGACAAGAATTTAAAGTATCAGGCCTTTCCATGAAGGTCTGTTCTTACATACTCCACACTGCATAGATTAAAACATTTTTTTTCACCCAATTGCTGGTTAATGGGCATTTTTCCTGCTCCAACCTGGAATTAGTAGCAAAATGTTCAGAGGATCCACCTCATCCTGTTAGCAGCGAGCAGGAAAGGACAACAATAAAGTGGAATACCACTGAGCGAGTTTAGCCTTATGCAGGCACCATCCAGCTCCTCTGCTTCCCCTTATGTCATGTTTCTGGGGACTCATTTTATGGACGCACATTAATCATTGTCTATCCAGCTTATCCTTTTAGTGCTAAATCTTCATAACATTGTTGACAGCATTTTTTTTCTTACGGTGCTTTGAAAAAGGTTTTCTAACTTTTACAGATCAAACTCAAACTGACAGATATTT